GTCCATAACAAGGTAATAAACTTTTACGACTGAGTCCGTGGGTGAGTAGGGCCTGATGATGAGCAGGTCGATCAAGGCCCTAATCTAGGCCAATGTTTGGTAGGACTAGTGACGAATTTGAGATTGAACTTAATAATAGTGTACAATTAACATAAAATACTACACAGCGTATTTTGCTTGATACATGTTTGAATTCTTTACTCTAATTGACAACTGTTTATTGTAGTTCAACACATTGTTTATTTCTGCTAATCAACCCATCAAAACAATCAACATTCTCGTGATATAATTGTTTATCAGGCCACGTTCTACACGCGTGGTGGTAGATCCTACTACCACGCAACTACAACGCATGGGGAACGTTGCAGTAATTGTGGGCTGTACTGTAATTATGCTGACAAAAATAGAATAACTAGGTCAAAATATTTAAGAGATCACATCTGCAAATATGTACAAACAAAAATAAAGCTAACAACAGGAAATGTGTATTATAATTTTTAATACAATACAGAACAATACTTACCTTCTTTGTGCTTAGGCATAGAATTTTAATATTTGTTCTTCATGGGACAAATCAAACACACTCAAAATTGAAAGTGGGATATAATCCTACAGTTTAATGGTACAGATCCTGCTTTAACCAGTTACCATAGCAATAACCTGTAAGTTAATCGTAAAACTCTCCAAACAATGGTCTTTGGGAATGCACAAGTAAGTGAAGCATTAAATCACTACCATGGCAACGGGTATAACATTTAAAGGATCCTATTGTGAAGGTAAGATTGTGTAATCTACATTAGTTGATTTGATTTTATAGAGATATTTTAATATGAATACTTTATAGGAAAATATTGTCTGTTAACCCTGTAAGTTGTTTGTAATGATAAATCTTTTTAAATAATCTGTCACAGATACTGTTGTTAGTTCAATTTTAGTTTCAGTTCCTTTAAAGTTTTACAGTATTTATTGATATCTCTTTATAGCCAAGGCTGAGAAAGTCTGATATTTTTTTCTATCAAATGTTTTAAGAATACTGTACAGAAAAAGAGGTTAAATTAAGTGGTATAACATGTTTTAAAAATTGTCTTCAAATTAAAAGGCTTACTGTAATAATAATAGAAATTATTTTTATCTGCTGTAGGGCAACCTATGATCATTAAGACAGATTTTTTTTCCCTTTTATGTATCAAATAATATTTAATGTGAAACAAATTATTTTAAGGAAAATAGTGCTAGTACTAGATCCAGTAGCATACTTCCTTATAATTATTATTAATATTGACTTTCAAACTTGCATTCTTCAAGATCCAATCCATGCCAACAGTACTTTTCTGTAGGTCTGGATTTACTGACTATACTGTGGAATATAATAATATGTAAACAGTACACTATAGCAGACCCCCTCCCTTGAAACACTCTTGGAAACACCCCTATCAAAGGGACATTGCTATAGGAGACATATGACCCCTATGGGAACACTTTTTCAGGCATAAAATGAATGAGGAAAGTATCTTTCAACACTAATTTGCCAACCCTTACTCAAGGGGCACTACAAAATACTTCTATGGTCCTAAAGGTAACACTTATCAATACAAATTACAATCAACTGTACAGACCTAGAAACCGAAAAGTCCACTGATTAATCTCAGATAAGATAGGACTGTATAATACATACTCCAAGTATCGAAATGCACGCCATCGTGTCAGGATTCAATATTTCGACATTAATTATGTCACCATCAGGATGACCTAGGTTAATGACATATTATCTCTAAATTTAATTTTATCAATATTCAAGGGGTTGCCTAAAGTAAAACATTTACAAAGATATTTATTTAGTTGTGATCTGATTGGCCAATGTATTGTACCAAAGGACAGAGTGATGAATTATGTAGTTCAAGTGGCCAAGACTATTACACTATTAATTGTCAATTCAAAATGAACCTGCAAATATATCAATGCCTAGTCAGTATGGTTGCAAAACATATTGCATACAGGCGGTTTACATTGTTTATGTTACCCTACACAACTGATAAAATGATACACTTACATTATTTTCACAACAATAATAATAAAATATTTACGTACAAATTTAGGTAGAGCGCCAAAAGGTAGGTACATGCAAAATAGAAATACTGTCAGTCTTATATGTATATAGGCATAGACTCAATCAATGTCGATGTCTAGGAATCAGATAGTTACTTATATTTATTATATGTTTTGCATAATTTTTTGGATATTATTCTACTTTGGTATTTTTTTTAATGATTACACAATTTGCCATTTAAAGATGAAATGCAAGTATCACACGCCATTAAAAGGGAGCAGCTTACTGAATTTCGTCTGGTCCATGAATGAATACCACCTTGACCCAAAAGAATTCTCAGTCAATCGGGGTGCTACTTAATTAAGTCTAGGGTCTAGGCCTAGCTCTGGAATTCAATCCAACTCGGCCACAAGTCAACTCAGCCACAGTCAACTCGGCCACAAGTCAACTCGGCCACAAGTTAACTCGGCCACAAAAAGTTTGGCTACAGTCAACTCGGCCACAAGTCAACTCGGCCACAAGTCATTTACTGGTACAACATTGTACTAATTGTTATTATTATTATTGCTGTTATTATTGTTGTCATTGTTGTTATTATTATTGTTGTTTTTATTACCGTTAGTTTTAATATTAATTATTAGTCTTAGCATTAACATTATATATTGTTCAAATTTTGGCTGATATTATTATTAGTACATATATTTATAGTACCATATAAATAATAAATAATTTTCGATTTTTTATTATTATTATTCATATTATTATTATTTATTAGTTTTAGTATTATAATTTTAATAATAGTAATTTAAAAAGTTGTTGTTATTGGCATTTTATTAGTATTTTTCTCATATTATTATTATTATTAATATTATTGTTGTTGCTGTCACCTTTATTATCGATATTATTACCCTATTATTACTAAGTAGGCCTAGTATTATAAGTACAGTATCATTATTATTATTATTACTAATTAGTATTACTATTATTATAAAAATAAACATTATCTTAAATTTATTATTGTATTATTGCTATTATCACCTTCAATATCGTTATTATCACTAATTAGTTATTAAAATTGATATTTAAATATCGTTATTATTACCATACTAGTATTATTATTATTTGTTAAAATAAATATTACTATTAATGTTGTTGTTGTTATTAATCACATTTAATGACTAATTAGTATTAGTATTATTAATTTATTGTCGTTATTGTTGTTTAATATTATTGTTGAAGTAGAATGTTGTGAGTAAACAGAAGACGAACACATTAATAAATAACTCTCAAGACTTTTGAACATGGCGTCGCGGCATTGTTGCTACTCAACTCCACTCACAATAATGCAAATGACTTACTCACAACCAATCACAAGCCGTTAATTGGGCTTTTCCCTTCTAGACTAGATTGTCCATTCGTCAAAACAAAACAATGTAAACAAACAAAGATTTAATCAATAAAAGTTTACAATTAAAAAAATATTGCCTATATCTATAACAGATATAACGAAAATAAAAGTATAAAGGTAATACGTAAGTACAGAAGTGTTTAAACATAAATTATAAATTGGCTTGTTAATAAGTATTATTATAATATAAATATATATAATCATTGTGAGAAATTTACCAATACACACTTAATTGATTACAATTCAGCTAAATATTACATATTTAAGAGACAACTCCGTTGAAATAAATAAATAAATAAAAGAGACTTGAAAATAAAAATTAAAGCAATGGATGACCCATGAATAATTTTTATTATTAAAAAAATATCTAATAATAAATATATGTTTTAAATTATTTTTTCTTATGTTTTGTTTCTTTTCAAATTTCACTTTTCTGTGATGTATCTTTCATCAATGTGATTAAACATTGTCGAGTTGTCCAAAACTGCATCTGTTTGCTACTGTACAACTTCCAAAGTATGGAAGATCTGCTTGTGTCGGCCTAGATTTCAAAGAAGTGACAGACCTAGCATCGCAAAATTAGTGAACCTTGATGTATTATTACCGTAATAAAACTTCATTTTTAGCATTTCATGCCCTGTCATATGTTCTCATATTTCATAAGGAGCTGGGGAGCTCAATTAGCCTAAATTCGTAGCCACTTAATGCTTCAACATTTCCTCCATACCTGTCTCTTATACACTATACACACAAAACATGTCGTAACAATTAATATTAATAGTGTGTTAAAATTTCAGTGATAAAATTATATAATTTGTGAAAAAATCGTAACGAATTAAACATGTCAAACTTTGCGCTGCCACTTACACCATGGTTAACACAAGCAACATATTTGCAAGATTTTTAAACATTTTGACGATAATAATTGTTAAAGGTAAACATCATTGCTTGTTATCGGTTATAGAAAGACCACCAATAAATTCAATATTTGATTGAGTAAATTAATCGATTGGCTTTAATGATATAAAGCGTATGTACATTAAGGGCATGAGAATAGAGAGATATTCCTAAAGAATTTTTATTGACCAATGATTGACAAATTTACTCTAGATTTCTTTTTCCAACTCTTGTAAATTACACACTTTCATCACCCTCGCTAATGTGTTATTTTACATCCGATCTTGTATGAAAATATAACATGAACAGACAACAGACATAAAAATAAAATTATTTAAAAAAATGTTTTATTTTGTGGATAAAGGACGAAATTTGTGACAGAGCAGCTTACTGAATTTTGTCTGGACCACAATTGAATACCACCTTGACCCAAAAGAATTCTCAGTCAATCTGGGTGCTACTTAATTAAGTCTAGGTAGGGCCTACATGTAGGCCTAGCTCTGTCTGTACAGTCTGTAGGCCTAGTACTTGGTATACAGGAGGAGGTTAACCTACTAAACTAGGCCTAAATATGGGTCTAATACTATGGCCTTAGCCTAGGCCTATTATTTCTTAAAATAATACAATTTAAATGGGAAATTAAATTACCGTTGTGGTCGGAATCTGATGAATGCTTGATTTTTCATCTGTGGACGGATGTTGCTTATGAAAATTTTGCATAGCCATATAAGTTTCATTTTGATAGTGTTGGTGACTTTCATCATCTAGGCATGGATTAGTATCGTCAATATCATCATCACTTAAGTTTGGTCCTGTTCCAGGGTCCTGAATAGGTTTAGGCCTACCCTGTACGTGTTGAAGAAGTGAACTCCCGGAAGCTGATACTGCGGTGCCCGAAGATGTGGGATCAAACAGGTGTTGCCTCATCGAAAATGCGATTTCCTCAACGCTAAAATTATAACTTCCAGCTTGTTGAGATACAGGCTGGATGCCCTGAAATGTAGGGGCGTTCGAGTACTGCATTATGTCCATAATTATTTACCGTGGCTTCATTTTATTGCAGTCAATGAGCGTGCATTATAACCATTGAATCCTTTCGAAGAAACCAAAAGATCGCTCAAGACTTTTGAACATGGCGTCGCGGCATTGTTGCTACTCAACTCCACTCACAATAATGCAAATGACTTACTCACAACCAATCACAAGCCGTTAATTGGGCTTTTCCCTTCTAGACTAGATTGTCCATTCGTCAAAACAAAACAATGTAAACAAACAAAGATTTAATCAATAAAAGTTTACAATTAAAAAAATATTGCCTATATCTATAACAGATATAACGAAAATAAAAGTATAAAGGTAATACGTAAGTACAGAAGTGTTTAAACATAAATTATAAATTGGCTTGTTAATAAGTATTATTATAATATAAATATATATAATCATTGTGAGAAATTTACCAATACACACTTAATTGATTACAATTCAGCTAAATATTACATATTTAAGAGACAACTCCGTTGAAATAAATAAATAAATAAAAGAGACTTGAAAATAAAAATTAAAGCAATGGATGACCCATGAATAATTTTTATTATTAAAAAAATATCTAATAATAAATATATGTTTTAAATTATTTTTTCTTATGTTTTGTTTCTTTTCAAATTTCACTTTTCTGTGATGTATCTTTCATCAATGTGATTAAACATTGTCGAGTTGTCCAAAACTGCATCTGTTTGCTACTGTACAACTTCCAAAGTATGGAAGATCTGCTTGTGTCGGCCTAGATTTCAAAGAAGTGACAGACCTAGCATCGCAAAATTAGTGAACCTTGATGTATTATTACCGTAATAAAACTTCATTTTTAGCATTTCATGCCCTGTCATATGTTCTCATATTTCATAAGGAGCTGGGGAGCTCAATTAGCCTAAATTCGTAGCCACTTAATGCTTCAACATTTCCTCCATACTACACATTTATATACTTCTACATAGTTGAAATGTATTTTATTTTGTGTTTGAATGTTGGGAGATAGTTTGATTCAGTTTGATATGGTTAGGATAAATGAGATACACTTTTTACGTTACTAAATTAATAATTTTAATTATTTTCTGCATTTCATTCCCTGTCTAATAAATGTGTGTGTGTGTATGCATTCACTATAATATCCCTATATGATAAAGAGCTTTAACAACCTTAGTCCCTCCATAATTACTAGCCCCATCACTGATGTGAACACACTTCAAAAGATGAACATAGACAAAGGCATATAACAAATAATACATTTAATATGTAATTCATATATGTATTCCATAATGAAATGTACAAAGACAGATGATTTTCCAAAGCTCATTGGATACAATTCAAGGAACAAATTCACTGATATTCACAATCACCTGTGTATCTAGTACTACTGTACTAGTTTCATTTATCACACAAACACGACTTCTCATTATAATCTTTATGAGATTTAATATTTTATACACTAATGCAAAAACTAATTTATTTACATCTTGGCATCAGTGAGTTTAATTAGTTTTCCATAGCTACAAAATATCAGAGTTCTAAAATAAATTCTATTAGGTCTTCTTCATGTTAAATTATGTTCACTATATGATGGCGCCCTCTATAGTTAAAAGGTTGCATCACTTTTTATGAAGAAGACTGTTTGATGAGATCTTTCAGTTGGTCCAATGAGCCATTCCGTAAACTCTCCCGCAATCGTTCTTTACGCGCTGCGGCAACTTTGATCTTGGTTCATTTGCATAGCGCTGCGTGCGCATAGCTTTGCCGAGTGATCTCCTCCTCAATAATACCTCCATGCTATAATATCCCTATATGATAAAGAGCTTTAACAACCTTAGTCCCTCCATAATTACTAGCCCCATCACTGATGTGAACACACTTCAAAAGGTCAACATAGACAAAGGCATATAACAAATAATACATTTAATATGTAATTCATATATGTATTCCATAATGAAATGTACAAAGATGATTTTCCAAAGCTCATTGGATACAATTCAAGGAACAAATTCACTGATATTCACAATCACCTGTGTATCTAGTACTACTGTACTAGTTTCATTTATCACACAAACACGACTTCTCATTATAATCTTTATGAGATTTAATATTTTATACACTAATGCAAAAACTAATTTATTTACATCTTGGCATCAGTGAGTTTAATTAGTTTTCCATAGCTACAAAATATCAGAGTTCTAAAATAAATTCTATTAGGTCTTCTTCATGTTAAATTATGTTCACTATATGATGGCGCCCTCTATAGTTAAAAGGTTGCATCACTTTTTATGAAGAAGACTGTTTGATGAGATCTTTCAGTTGGTCCAATGAGCCATTCCGTAAACTCTCCCGCAATTCATGGAAAAATTCAAAGTAGTGGTGGAAATTGTGTCTGAAATAAAAATTAAAAATTAATGAAATAGATAAAATGCATTAAACATGCAATGTAATTTATCTATTATCAAAATATATACTGTAATGTATTTATATATTGAAGATATTGATTCATACATCATACATGATATATATAATTCTTTATTTTCAATATATATTTATGTATTCAAGAATATATATGTAAGTCATATAAAAAATTGCTTGACAGAAAAGGTATGATAGTATCAAACTCCGTATCAGTGGTGTTTAGAGGTCTGTCCATACTGACATGTGTTTGTGATAAAGTGTGATTTCCCTGTTATATGGGTATATAAAATAATAATGACCATATATGGATGTAATATGATATCATCATGCCCATATATGGATGTGGTATGACATCATCATGCTATTAATGGGCAAATTACACAAATGTCATATAAAACTTAATTTTTGGCTAATTAGTGCACCCGCTGCCATGAAAAAAATGGAAATTTCGGAAAAAAATAAGCTGCCTTGAAATCTCCAAATATAAGTTATGTATATTTGTCCCTAATTATATAAATTTTAGGCATTTAACCATCCCATTACTACACTGTTTACATTCACCGATAAAATTTTATTTTTATTTCTTTCTCCTCTGTATTTTGGCAAAACTATTTGCTAAATAAGAAAACAAAATTTTATTTTTATATTTTTTGTGCCCTTCTCTGACGATCTTTAAAAAAATTAGTTCGCAAAACAAGGTATAAAAAAAAGTCTTGCCTAAACAGATTAGGTTTATAAATATGCATTGTTTCAGTAATGGTAAAAAAATACATTTCTTTTTCCATGTACAGTATTATGACAAAGGCCTATGTTTTTCAGATGGTATTGGCTTTTGCATTAGCTAAAATATTAACTTGTTCCTACACAGTTTAAATTTACTTTATATTTGTTATGTGGATACGTACATCCAACATAAAAGTTAATTGACAATTATCATTGGATTTTAAACTTCAATTCTTATATTATTTACACTTTGTTTTATTGTATCTTATTTTACTTACAGCATAAGAAGTACAGGTCCTAAAAGCTCCTTGGTCCTCAGCAAGTGGTTGATGTAAGCTCTAGTGTGATGCTCACAAGAATAGCATTCACAATTTTTAACTAAAGGTGAAAAATCGTCAAAATACCTGAAAGACAACGAACATATATTCTTCAAATCTGAGAACTAATAATAAAGATAATGATGGTGAGGATAACAATGGTGATGATGATGATGATGATGATTATGATGTAACCATGGTGATATGGTAAGGACAACTAGCATCATCATGATCATAAATAATGACTAAAACCACAAAAATTTGGGGTCTCAACCCGAGGCCTTATCCTTACCTCGCCATCACTTGCTGGCGCAAAGATGCAAGTATCATTCCTACAGCGAAGTTTGCCATACTAATGCTATACTGCTACATTTACACTAGACACGATAACCACACGACAATGACACGATAAAAATGTGCTCATTGTTAAAGAATATAAATGAAGTGATGACATGTCGTTGTGCCGTTATCGTGTCTAATAGTGTAAATGCAGCTTTATACTGTACTTTTCCCATATGCTTAATTACAAGTTTTTCTTTTATAGATGATTTAATATCTAATTTTTGCATTGTCATTGTAAACCTGTTTTTTTGCATTTCAGTTATTTTATATATTATATTATTTATATACATAACTGCACCTCTGTTCTCGCAAGTTAATTTCAAATTCTGTTTTCTTGCAGGTGTCTTTATTGGTATCATCACTATCAAATGGGACATTTCCAATGAAGCTTTCAACGCTGCTCTGCAACCCATCAAAACAACCACCTTGTTTTTCATCTTTACTTCCATGTTCTAACTCTTCTAGCTTTTTGAAAGGGAAGACAAGTGCACAACATCTCTCAGTAACATTATATGGAAATCTAATTTTCTAGTAAAGGAAAAACAATAATTATAATAGTATTTTGCTACTTTTAATATATGAAGCATATACTTAGTGAAACATGAAAAGAAAAGACTGATATTGTAAAACAATTTTTACCATAATTATTGAAGTTCAATGCGTATTCATTTCATTTTGGCTATAATATTATTATTACTCACACTATGTTTTATGTTTGATCTATTTGTACTTTTACACGGAGACTAAATATGTTACTTCTTAATAAATCGATTGCATAAAAATTCAAATAAAACCTTAAATTGCTAATTTAAAAGGATGAAATAACTTTCAATGAGACACGGAGAGAAACAATTCACTTTCTACAACACATATCTTTAGAGTTCTACCAAATATAAGTATTTTTTGTTCTAATTATCAATTGAAACTGAATAACTTATTTAAATATGCAAAGTAATAACAATATCAAAAAATACTTTTATAGGTTTTTTTTAAATTTCAATACAACAATATTGTTATGAAAATCCAAAATAAAGGATACGAGGAATCAAATATATCAACCCCTGCCTCCACAGCATCAATGATGTCATCAGGTCGGCCAAGACCATGCAATAACCTAGGTTTATCCTCCGGCAATTCTTTCTAGAATAAACAAACATTTGGTTATTTTATCACCCAAAAGCTAGTTTGTAATTTATAACTATAATCTGCTATGAATTCTTAAAAACAATGGGAAAAGGAAAGTTGTAAGACGCTGATTATAGTTATTAATAAACATTATATATTTATGGATTAACTAACCACAAAACAATTTAAAAAAAGAACATAAATGGATTTTTTTAAATAAATTTTTGTAAATAATAATTTTCCAATTAATATATTGAATTTTAGATATTTAGACATTGCTTCTACTTGTAATTAGGATTTTTAGGACTCATATTTTAATTGTGCCTGCTTGTGTTTTTCCCTTTTCTCTTTGAATATTTTGTATTATCAAATCTGTTATAAGATTGAAATAAAGTGAATAATAAATTATGAATTGGATTGGACACTTATTACAACATGATTGTTTCCTTAAAATGGCTTTAGAAGGAAGACATATTGGTGAGCCAATCAAAGGTTGAAAGAAATGTGCATTCCTAGATAGCCTCAAACATGGAAGCACATATCAAGAATTAAGAAAAGAAGTGCAAGACCGTGAAATATTGGGGGTGGAGGAATGGCTGCTATGAACCTGACAAACGCAGATCACTAATTTGGTTGATTAACTAACCACAACTGCTGCCAAAAGCTTCCGCCGAGCATCATCATGCATCATATATCGCTGGAATCCATCTAGCACAAACCCAGCCACTGGCCGCTTCACCGTTTCTCTCACTGAATGTAGGCGTTCTTCCAGTAGATCACCACCTTCTATAACACCGAATATTTCAGAGCTTTTCAAATCCTGTATAATAAAATAATTATATTAAAAACTAACAGGCAAAGTATTTGACACAAAATTCTTAATAATGAAAATCACTATTATAAATATAAACCTTGATTATGATATTTTGACATACTTACATCACTTTCCTCATGAATATTTAAACATTTGTCAAGAAAGTTCAGAGTTCGGTTGATTGACTTTTGAATCTTCTTACGACTACATCCAAGGGGTGTGTCTCCATCATACATTGCTTCATACCAATCTGGTTTAAAGGCCTTCTGCATGGACATGTACTGGTCAACATGGAGCTGAAGAACAAAGTTTACCAAAATGAGAATTAATTGAGCATGATGAGGAAGAAGAAGAAAACACTAGCTTAGAGAACAATTGTTTTTTTATTTAAAAGAATTGGAGGGTGCACTGTAAATACATATGAAAAAAAATAAGATACAAAATGTAGCATTCAAAAATGATTAAGAGACTCTAATGATTAATGCTTTTTCTGATTTTTTATTATATTCTGTCTATGCCAACCACACATTATCAGTGGAGAATGGTTAAAACTTGATTGTAATAATAAGGATAAAAAATTTTAAAAGTTCACATTTTTATATTGCCTTTTCATACCAATTATCCCGATTGAATAGTAGGTAATATCCACTATGAAGCAATAGATGTCATTTAAACCTATGTTACAAAACATGGAGTATAAAGAAAAATTATGTTAAGTCAATGAAGCCAGTTTAGACACAACCCTAAAAAATGAGCCCTACCCTCATTCTTCCTGCTGACACCCAGATGGAGGCTGATGACTTATCATTGTATCCACTTGGTGTCTGGATACCTGGGTCTTGTAATGATAGATAGTAAAGTGTGTTTTGTATGCCAATGAAGTGACCTATTCCACCTGGAATACCCTCCACAGTTTCATGACTTTCAGCCCTACAATGAAAAAAAAAAACAAGTTTAATGTATTTCTTTAAAACATATTTTCTACTTTAACACTGTTTTTCTAACAAGTAATTTGGCGTATTAAAGTCTTGTGATTGCTAGATATGCTGTCGGTGGTGAAATCTGAAAAAAAACCCTGCAAATTTATATAATATAATTAATTCTAATTGACAATGTATAAACATCATTTTAATGCATTTTGCTCAAAACATGTGATAGGTACTGAGCAGTGAATTTTTATTATTTTCTCTGCAGTTGTGTTGCACATAGGGAAAAATATGTCTTGTCCATAGAATAAGATAAAATTGAGCCTGTAGTTCATTCTTTGTTTTAGGCCCAAGGCCAAGGACATGCCTAACAGTGAATTTAACAACTTTTATAAATGGTAGTTTAGTAGTGAGAAAAATCCTATGACTGTGACAGAAATTGGACTAAGGACACTGAAATTGAAAGGCAAGCATCCTAACCACCAAACTCGAATGTCAGTCAATATGACTGGATGCTACTTCCATCAAATGCTAGTTTCAGCGGATGCCAGTTCGAGTAGATGGGGAGGGTTGGTGGAGCATGAAATACGCCCCTGCCAAATATGTGTAAGACTAGACAGAAGAAAACAGCAATAAAGTAATAAGTAATATAAAAAAATTTAATCTGAAGAGGGCGAACAACTACCAAATTTAATGTTCTGTCAAAAGAACGAATTTGTTAAATGTTCGCAAAACTGGATCCTTTTTCACTTGAAATGGCATCCGCTCAAAGTCGCATCCGCTCGAACTAGCATTCACTCATAAAGGCATCCGCTCGTACTGACTGGTTCCCACTCCACCCAGCTTCCAAATCCCTGCCTAACATTCTTACAGGGTTGGCAGTGTTAACTGAGTAGCTGCAGGAAGTCTCTTCAGTGTCCTCATTACATCAGGAGTCAAATGAGGAGGGAGACCGCATCTTGTGTACAATAGACAGCACGGTGTTTCCATTGATAAATCACCATGACGACCAACTTCGCATAGTTTTCCTAATCTGCTGCCACCACTGTTCACCAAAGATAAAATTAACTTCATGGTTAACCTACAAAACAAAGAAATGAAAAAGAAATGTCAAATAATTCTATAATTAAAGAGGACAGAATATTTATATTAAATCAATATATTTTGCTATCAATCTGATTAGTTGATAATACTTTAAACTGGAAGAACAAAATATATTAGTGAACTGTAAACCAGGCCTCATAAAAGGGCTACCAACCACAGCGTCGGCAGTCATGGTGCCGTTGTAGGTGGCCAACTCAACTGCATGTAAAACTTTAAAGTAGGCTAGGCCCACCTAGGCCTAGGCCTGTGCAGTATTGTTTGTAGTACTGGCAGTGGTAGAGACCTAGGCTAGGCCTAGGCCTAGAGGCGTACCCGTACCCTGACGGGACACTAGCTAGGCCTATATGTGTAATGCACCGAATGCACTATTGGAAGGATTCTATTCTCTTCTTTTATACTGTAAATACAAAGTGCAGTTACTTACGGATACCCAAACTTTCATGATTATTCTATCTCCTTTCTAGGAAAACCATCCCATGCCACCATGTGTGTCTTGTTATTGTAACTACAGAGGGCGTGATTTAGAAACTTGATCGGCGGCGGCGGCGAGAGAGAGCGATAAATAAATAAAATAAGAAAAAATAATGGCGAGTTTAATAAAACAATGTATATTCGGTCCTAAATTGTATAGAATACACGCCGGCGCTGTTTCAAATCAGGTACGTTAACTTTTCCCAATATTTAATGTATTTATATACGCAAATATAGGCCCTACAGGCCTGGCCATAACAATAGCCAGGCCTAAGCTAGGACCCGAGGCCTAGGCTAGGCCTAAATACTGACTTGGCAATTGCGTGAGGACAGGCTAAAGACCAGCATGAGTCTGGCTTGGAGTAGGCCTAAGCCTAGGTAAAATGTATTGGATCATCATGGAACGTTTTTCTGATTCTTCCCCAGGGGTACGACTATGTGCCAAATTTCACAGAGAAGCAAGCAAACAATATTATAACGTGGGTATGTATAATGTGCAGCTTTTTTCAGTTCTCGAATTAAAAATAGGCCTAGGTAACACTCATTTATTGCAATTAATTAATTCAAGGAAGAGGATATATTTACGTCGCCGTAAACATAAATAGCCATGCGCAGTCATACTTTAATAATAAACTTGCATTATCGGTCACGTAAATTTATCGTATCTGGTTAAATGTACGTTGGGTTCAAAACTTGACCAAACAATTGTTTGTACAAACAAAGGAATACCTGCCATTATTCAACAACACACGATCGAGTCGACAGCAAAGCAATGCACCTAGGGAATCCCTAAATTGGTTGAATGCATTTTTGTTGTAAACAGTTTACGACAGGGTTTGACGTTCGATAATTATGATTTTTCCTTTCTTATTAAACGTACTAAATTTGCTACCGTAGTATGTATTTCATCATTAAATAGATCATTAAATCATTTTGATAGTGAGCTAGAAATAGGCCTAGGCCCTATTTGTATCCATGGTACAAGGGAGGCTGTTCCACACACTCTTTGCAGCCATACTTTGTAGACACATGCACAGCATGTTATTTCATTTAAATTAACTGCCAATGTTGGTTTTTTTTGTTAGTGTTTGAATAAAAGATTAAAAATATTTGTTTTGTCTTACTTTATTTGTAATGATTAAATATCTTACAGAAAATACATTCATATTCTTTACTTTTGCTGCATAGCATAGTTCGTAGAGTGTGGATCACATGCTCTCTAAACGTGGTCTTTCTCGGATGCTCTCGCCCAATCGGGGCCTGACAATCGAACCGACTAAAGAATGTTAATGATGTTGTTTTTGTTAGTGACGACATCATTGTGTTTATTAAAATGTCATTTACTTTGTGATGATTGACTATCGTACTATTGTACAAAAATACAGGCTTAGGCCTAGGAGAATATCATTTTGATTTCGAGGTAATTGAGTGCTAGTTTTAACAGGAAACTTTATTTATTTCACGTAGATATATTGTTTACTGATTTGTTTACGGTCACTTAAATATATCCACTTCCTTAATTTAAACATGACAGATTTCTATATAGAGTTAATTATCATACACTCTAACCCTTCCGATTTGATCAGGAGTCTTCCAAATTTTTTCATGCAATCTCATGGTCTCACAGATTTTATCAAATCCTCCCAATTTTTCAGAAAAGAACCCAAAAATACCAAAAACAACTAATATAGGCCTAGTGTCTTTTTGGTACTAATTGAGTACTTCTCTGTTTTTCCTTTGTACATCAACTTTATCAATGATATTGGCAATGTACAAGGCTTTCCAAGTATTACTGATATCTCGAAAAATCAGAATGCTTGCATGAACAAAAATGAGTCTCCCAAATTTTGAGTTCCCGGGGCTGGATCATCTGAATTACCCCCTTTTATTGTAACAGCCCGGTGGGGAAATATGTTTTATTAATGTGACAGCCCTGAAATCCATTGTAAAACGTTGCAATAGTGACTTTCCTAAGGTACATTATGTTTCTTCATTGTTTTTAGATGAAAGTGTGTTGGTACGTCATAAAGTACACATCACCAATTTCACTGACCTATATGTATAGAAATGGTATGTTGATTTTCCCGCTCATCTTTATTTTCATTTTACACCATAGAAAGTATTATCCATACAACAAGACTGAACAATCTTAAAAATGAACCACTTATTCACCAAGCCACAGCTACATCAAAGTCCTTATCAATCATAATACTTTATTTGCTCAGGACACCAACAATTTCAAAGGAATTAAATTAGAAACTAATATTTTAAAAATACTTTATTATTTTTTTTTTTAATTTAAACAATTTTACTAAAAAGAAGTGAAAAATCAAAGAAAAGTCAGTTACTGATATAATGTGGACACGTAACATAGAAAGTACTTTTTTTTCTTTCATATAGGCGATAATTTTTTTTGTAGATTGTTTAGTGTACCAGCCGCCCGCCAATAACGATGATTTCGAATAGAAATAACATTTTATTTTTGGCCAATTAATGCACCCGCCACCACGAAAAATCGGAAGTTTCAGAAAAATATAAAAAATTTTCTTTATTTTTATTATGCTGCCGCTGCCTTGAAATCTCCAAAAATAAGATAAATTTAATGTATACTTCTTCCTGATTATATAAATTTAAATCATTTAACCATGCCATTACTACACTGTTTAAATTTACCAATAAAATTCTGTTTTTATTTCTCCTTCGTCTGGGTGTTTTTGGCAAAACTATTTTCTAAATAAGAAAACAAAATTTTATATTTATTTTTTTTTCCACCCTCCTCTAACATTCTTTAAAAAATAAGTTCGCAAAACAAGATATAAAAAAAAGTCTTGCCTAAAAAATTTAGGTTTGGAGTATTTATTTAAGTGTTACTTGCCAACCACTATGCTTAATTAATTTTAATAATAACAGCAGCATAGCATGGTTGGTAAAATAATACAATATCTACATGCATACATTAAAAAAATGTTCTCTTAATCAATAACCTAACAAAACAAATGTTGTTTTCCCCAGGATACTTCACTGTTGCTGGCTTGATCAACATAGGCCATTGTACTGGTATTGCTATGGTGATTCTAATGGGCTCAATAATTATCAGAGGTATAGCAATGTCCAAATTAAACTTTGTTTATCAAACAATTTTTAATTAGGGCATACTAGAAATATGGGCCTGCATAACTTGTGTGTTAATGATGACAGATATATCAGTATAAATAGTAATTATGAATATGAATTATGAATTATGAATAGTAATGAATAACAAAGTTTTGCTAAAATAAATATAGAATAATTATTGCTGGTAGTACCTGATTGATCTTTTATGTTTAATTCTCAATCCTTTGGTAAAGTTTACTATCTGTTTATCATATTCAAGGTCTTGGTAGATACTTGAATCCAGAATATTGTGATTTCATTCAGTTTTGGCAAGTTGCGAGAAACAGTAATTCATATGAAATACGGGTATGTATACATACATTAGAAAGTATAATACATACTCCAAGTATTGAAATACACGCCATCATGTATTTCAATACTTGGAGTATGTATTATACTTTCTTATCTGAGATTAATCAGTGGACCTTTCGGTTTTTTATACATACATTGATTTGGAGAAAAATTCATAGATTAAAGAGAATACTCCGCGGTAGTCAAGAAAAATGTTCAGGGCTGTAAGGGAAAATCTCAGGGCAGTCAACAACAAAAACCCTGGATTGGACTGGAAGGAAAAATTTATTAGATTCCGCTTTAATTGTCAACCAGTAAATACAATATAGTTATTTTATTTATTATTGTTTAGGATCCAAATGTAACTCCCATTTTCAGTTCTGTGTAGCACGCAATACATTTTTTAAAGCAAATATTGCTGTTGCAAAAGAAATGGAGATAGCAGAGAGTATAAAGCAAAAGGTTACCCCAATATAGCACTTTACAATTAACTAAACCAAATAAACTAACAAGAAAACAAACGCAAGCAGAGAAACAGAGTTAATTCTTTGTTTACTGCCAGCAGTTTGAGGTCCCAAAATGAAGAGCTCACTTTGACGTAACCCCCAGATTAATCAACAATAATAACTTAAATTATGATGTTTGTGTTTTTTCTTTCCTTACAGCATAAGTTACAATATTTTGATTATGAGTTCAGTCACTGGCAAGAAGATTTCATCGCAAACACAGATAAACCGTGAGTTTCAATTTTGGTTGTAGTAAGTAATTTGCAGTAATGACAGAGAACATGTTGGCACAGTAATAAGGGCTCCAGCTTTCGAAGCGCATGCTTCCTAACTTGACAATGCCAATCTTAGCATGTGTCCTTTGGCCCTTGGTATCACAGCATAGCTCATTCGGCAAAACTGGTGGTAGCCATTGTGTGTGCGCTGAACGGTGGAGATCCTATGGTACCTTGCTCTATTTCATCCGCTGCTGTCCTTGTGTTTATGCTGGAGGACTGAAATACAATACTGTATTTAAAAATGCGCAGTCGTTCGGAAGAGACATTTAAGTCATTGGTTCCATGAGCAATGTGGCTGATTGTGCACTAACTTCGGAAAAGAGTAGGGGATTGGCTGCATGTGTACTGCCCTATCACCACCAACAGGACCCCACTGGAAATTCGTCTTCAGACTTTTGTAGGTTTTCGTAGGTGTTCACACACATTACTCAAATTACCATGTCCTTTGGATTAGTCATCCAAGTGTCCCAAGTTGTGGAAGTCAAATTTCTGGAGAATTTGTGGTGCAGGACAGACAGAGGTTTGCGACGTGTGTACTAAAACGCATGTACAAGGACACGCGAGTACAAATTGATCGCCATGTTCAATATAAAGACAAAGAGGCTTGGGCAGGTTTAGGTCACTGTTTTAACAGTGACCTAAACCTGCCCAAAAAAAATATATTAAAATATCTTATTGCTGCCTAGAATGTTCAATAAATCTTGTCACTCCATATTTCATACACAAGAATGGGAAAATTTAGCTTAGCATAAGCCCTAATTGTAAAAGTCTTAAAATCCTGAAGAAATCCAGAAAGTGTGGAATTTCCGGGAGACCAGGAGATGACCCAAAATTCATGAAGACCCCAGGGAGACTTGGGAGACTTGGAAGCTCTACATTAAGCCATTGGTGTGCAACATATCTATAATTTATTTTTCTATGTCACTTTTAAATACATAGCACTCACAACATGTGGTGCAGTCCTATAACAATTAAAAAACAATAGAATGAAGGTGAAACAAGGTTTACAACAAAAACACATTTATTTTCAATGGGGAAGATATTTCAATAATTGAGAGCTTAATTTGAAGACATTTGTTTTAATTTACTTTGCAGGCCCCTGAAGCTTAGCCCCATAACAACAGCCAAACCCAGAAGCTTACTAAGTAGGATAGTAGGACTGCCATGCGACTTACTGAGTTACTGTCTGATACAAACTGTTGGTAGATGGCTGGTGTACCCTGGCCACACATTGCTACTCAATGCTGCCGTTGGTAAAATACTGTTTTTCTTATGCTTGGGTATAGTGAAGATTGATGACACAACACACCAAGAATATGGACTGCTAAATTTAATCAGCAGCTTTCAAAGTATGATTCCAACAAATGATGATACTGCCTTTAACATTAAGTTAATCATATTTTCTTTTTTTTCCATATCCAGCACCATCCCTTCTAGAAGGTAGGAGGAAACTACTAGAGAACAAACATGGCATCCGTGCCAAGTTAATAGCACGAGACGGTAATGAGATAGATACTATGTTCATAGATGCAAGGGGGATGGCACATTCACATGGAGATAAACTGGTAGGTATTTTGTTACATGGATCAAGGTTTTTTGGCTGTTATGCCATCTGTCTTTGTGGAATTAGATAAGATAAAGATAAGATAATTAACTTTTATTATCATCGCAAAATAGAACAAGGAAATTCATTTTCCATTGACATACAATGCAAACAATATACTGTTAATATAATTTTTAAAATATAATATTCACAACTTCAAAAAACATCACAAGGCCAAAATACAGCTAAAAAAGTAATAAAGAGGAGGAAGAAGAAGAGGTTGTCTTAGCAGCTTGTTCAATTCAAAGTATATTTGTTATGGCAGTGCAAGCACTAAATTGGCACTATATTTACAATACAACCAAAGGGCCTAGTAATGCTTTTGGACAGGCGAAAGCAACTGGTACCTTTTCACTGGGTAGCTCAGGCAAGAAGAGACCATTAAGGGAGAAGCAAGTACGGTAATTGTAAGAGCCACTAGTCCACACCTTGAGCATTATGAGACTGTTATACCCATGTTATGACTAATGGTATTATATGTTGAAGGAAAGCTTGTAAATACAATGTTGCAATTCTGATTGTATAGATTGAATACAGAATTTGAATTGAATTTGAATTTGGTATAGAGCGCTATATAAATCTAACTACATTGCATTACAACATTATGAGACTTGAGGGATTCACGCTGGTTTTAGATCTTAAGAAATATATATATATATATATATATATATATATATATA